AAAGCAAGCAACAGTTCGACGGAACGCCACAAGTTGCCAGCACCCATCTACAAGAGGTGCAAACCAAGGTCCACATCAAGCAAGCACACACTCATGTACAACAAGTCACAGCCATTCGATTCCAAAGAAGAGGAGGCCGTGATGAAGGAAGAAGCTTCCCCAGCTGGGAAGAAGAGGATTCCATTCCTCTGGAAAAGACAACAGAAGGACATCCAACACTTCTTGGACATCCAACAAGAAGAGACAGCTCACGTTCCATTCCAATGGACAACAAGCTGACTCCAGATAGCTACCAAGCTATTGCACAGACTCATGCTCACCTGATTTCCAAATCCAGTATCAAGCCTGAATGGATTGATGTTTCCACACATCATTGGCGATTGAGACCATGGCATATCGATGTCCAGTTCAGTCTACATCGCCAGTCAAGAGCACAGTTTGAGTCTACGAGAATGCAGCCGGAACTTCCTAGTTTCCAGCTACAGCAATACCAAGTGACCGGAACTTCCCAGTCCACGGTTCAACAAGTAATCGGAACTTCCCAGTTTCGAATACAGCAACATCAAGTGACGGCACCAATTGCCACAGCAAGTCATACAGGAGTGGCAACACTCACAGGAGTGGTAGCCACAGTTGCTTTTCATGACGACACTGTTCACATGTCTACATTGACTGTGACAGATTTGTCAACACTGCTATGGATGACAAGCTTCTCGCCACCAAGCGGAATGCCGAGCAACCTAGCAATTGGTCTCCCTCGACCAACAACTGTTCCTTATGGAGCAACCATCATTACATTAATTATTTGTTCCACGGTATCCTTTATGGAACCGTGCAGGAGTGTGTTGGAGGTTGTATTACAGACACCTCAATACAAATTAGTCGTTTATCCCAATCTAGTTGATAGGGGATATCTATATCTATTCTCTAGTTACATACATGGGGAGTTTAACTGATCTATATGGTCACCCCCTTCACTATATCCTTTGAAGTTGAATCAATCCCAGAAAACATGGAGAAAGATCACTTCTTGGAAATAGCTTAACAGTAAAACAGTATTTTACCTTTACTAAGCTAGAGTGTTACTAGAAACCAACAGAGGTGTAGCCTTTAAAATAAAATTTCGATATTTCACAAGAAGGTAAACCGTTCCGAGTGGGTGGCACCAACATTTATCATTCCTAAGAAGGATGGATCTGTACGGTTCATCTCTGACTTCCGGGAACTGAACAAAAGGATTAAGTGAAAACCTTATCCGATCCCAAAGATACAAGACATGCTACTGAATCTAGACGGATTCAAGTACGCTACTAGTCTCGACTTGAACATGGGATACTATCACATCGAGCTGTCACCTCGCTCGAAACAACTCTGTACTATCGTTGTTCCATGGGGAAAATACGAGTACCAGAGATTGCCAATGGGCCTATGCAATAGTCCCGACATCTTCCAAGAGAAGATGGGAACACTCATGCACGACTTGGAATACGTCCGTGCATACATTGATGATCTACTCATCCTAACTAACGGTGATCTAGCAGATCACGTTGAAAAGTTAGATGAAGTTCTCCCAAGGCTTCGAGAAGCCGGACTTGAGATCAATGCTACCAAGTCCTTCTTCGCAAGAGGAGAACTTGAGTATTTAGGCTATTGGATTACTCGAGAAGGAATCCAACCCGTAACCAAGAAAATAGATGCGATCCAGAATATCGCTCCTCCTACGAATTGGAAGGAACTTCGTAGATTCATTGGACTAGTGAACTACTATCGAGACATGTGGATCCGACGATCACATGTACTTGCACCACTCGCTACACTTACTTCCAAAACTAAGAAGTGGAAATGGGAAGCTGAACACGACGAGGCCTTTCGCAAGATGAAGAAAATCATCAGCAAAGAAACCTTGCTCGCTTACCCTGACTTCAACGATGCATTCGTTATCCACACGGATGCAAGTGATACGCAACTGGGTGCAGTGATTTCCCAGAAGGGAAAGCCTATCGCGTTCTACAGCAGGAAACTCAATCCCGCTCAAACACGCTTTACGGTAACTGAGAAGTAACTTCTCAGTATCGTTGAGACTCTCAAGGAGTTCTGTAACATTCTTCTCGGGCAGAAGATTGTAGTACATACGGACCACAAGAATCTCACCTGCAAGAATTTCAATACCGATCGCGTTATGCGATGGCGCCTTATTCTGGAAGAATATGGCCCCGAACTTCGGTACATCAAGGGCGAACACAACATCGTCGCTGATGCGTTGTCGAGACTTAATATCTCGGACAACGATGGTTCTTCAGAACAAATGGACGCCAGCGAGATTGCTGAGCTCATGGCCGTAGACGAAGAGGACTTCCCTAGTGATTTCCCTCTCTCGTTCCCCGAGATCGAACATCGCCAGAAGGACGATAACGATATCAAGAAACTCCTCAGGGACAAGCCAAACAACTACAAGAAACAATCTTTTCCCAGAGGGGACAAGTCCTATGAACTAGTAGTCAAGGACAACAAGATTGTTGTGCCTAAGGCCATGCAGAAGAAGCTGGTCGAATGGTATCATGGTGTACTGATGCATCCTGGCGAGACTCGCACAGAACTTACCATCAGTCAAAACTACACCTGGAAAGGGTTGCGCAAGACTGTGCAGTCCGTATGTCAGCGTTGTCAAAGCTGCCAACGGAACAAACCCAAAACGCGTAGGATTGCTTCCTCCAAAGACTTGCGAGGAGATCCCTGGGGAAAGACTATGTATCGACCTGATAGGTCCATACAACGTCGGGGATCCTAAGAAAAAGAATTCCTGTACACTTCATTGCCTGACCATGATCGATCCAGTAACCGGATGGTTCGAGATTGCTGAGATCTGCTCCAAAGCAGCAGACGAAGTAGCCATCATTCTAGAACAAACGTGGCTTACTCGGTATCCATGGCCTGCTGAGGTTATCATGGATAGAGGACGTGAGTTCCGCGCAGAAGTCGAGAAGACTCTCCGGGATGAGTATGGACTTCGTCGCAAGTTCATTACCACACGTAACCCTCAAGCCAACTCGATGGTCGAGCGTGCTCATCAGACCATTCGTAACTTGATAGCTGTTCAAAATATCAAGTGCCAAGACGACCTCGTGAATGGATCCTGAGATGGAGTCCTCACGGCGGTTCGGTTCGCAATGAATGCCACGATTCATACCACCTTGCGTGCAACGCCTGCACAGCTCGTGTTCAATCGTGACGCTATTCACAATGTCCGTTTCGAAGCCAACAAGAAATACATCAAAGAACGTCGCCAACGACTTATCCAGAAAAACAATGATAGGGAGAATGTGACGCGTGTCCTTCATCAATACAATGTCAACGATACTGTGATGATTCAACAGTATCAGCACCGCAAGTACAGTCAGCCAAAGTACAAAGGTCATTACAACATAGACCGAGTCAATGACAATGGCACTGTACGGCTCCGACATGCTACTGCCAATGGCGGCACAGTCTACCAGACTTGGAACATAAGGTATTTACACCCATACAAGGCCTGATCCCCTTGTAGGATTGCCATCGTGCGACGCACATGTCTACATCCAAATCTCATGAGAGTGCCCCGCACTTTAAATCATATGTTCTCCTTGTCCGACTGCTGTCGCACCTTCTGTGACCCTTGTCAGGGGGCGAATGCAATACACGGCTCTTAGCCTTATTCGCGACTCGATCCTAGATAGGGTTTGAGTTCAACTCATGACGTAGTCCTTCGCGAATAGTCATTGAGACAGAGTTCTCATGACTGCTAGTCATACTAGGTTGTCGATGAAACATCGCTCTAGATATTTAGCCGGCGTGGAAAACTTCCACGCTACTAGATTGCTACTAGCTGAAGTTTCCACTTGTTCTGGAAATGCACCGTGGAGTACGTAGAGTTATTACCATAACCTACGATATCACACTTCAAGGCCTCCCGCGGGAGACCAACTTCAATGAGCTTCACAACGATCGCTCTCATGGATTAGTTTTCGTAGCTTTCTAATCTCTCTCATAACTTTCATTCTCTCAAACTCAAAACACTCGAAAGATCTTTACACTAGCTTTTAGCGTAGTGCATTTTGTTAACAAACACAATAGCTTTCAGCTACCCTCAACCTATTCCTTCACCATGAAGATTGCTCAAGGAAAGCATGCGTTCAGCAACTACGAGAAACAGTTGCATGACAAACCCATTCTTCCTCTCGTCGACAATGACGAAGACAACGAGGTCGACGACACTCGTGCAACCACCTACAAACTTCGCACCATTCCTGCAGACGCAAATAGTGCCAAGTACACTTTCAAGGTAGCCATCATCAATGGCTCCAACTCTCCATGTGAGACCATCAAGTGGGCCACGAATATGGACAAGGTCTACAGTCGAGAGCTAACCCGTGGCCAGAGGATCCTGTGCTGTGTGATGTCCTCCAGGCGACTCGACTCGACTCGACTCGACTCGCTCAGCTGGAACAGAGAACAGAGAGCATGCTTTTGTCCTCTGAGAGCTCCAAACCATTCCCGCAATTGCCTTGGCTACAGTGCCACATGTACTACGTGTGCTGGCTGGTTACCATAGTTCTGGCTGGCTGCTCAACTTTGGCTCCAGGCCCACGTTTGCAGCATGGCTTGCATTGGCAATTTCCGGGACACCCATGCTCCTTTTTGCATAATATTATGGCTTCAATCGTCTGCTGGTTCGATCTTCAGTACTAGTAATCTAGTCCAGCAGCATCAAACAAGGGGGTAACCTACCTTTGAGTTTTGTGCCCACTGTCAACCACTGTCTTGATCATGGTTTGCATGTATGATGACACTGGATTTCTCCACCCCCCAGGCTCTGGCAAACGATTGGAGCCGTTTTAGGGGTTTTGGGAAGTCGAATCGATGGATTCGAGTCAATCGATTCGAATGATGAATCGAATTGAATCGACTCGAATGATGAATCGAATCGAATCGAGTTGCGGCGACCAGTGATTGGACCAGTCCTGGAAAAGAATTCAGGTAGCCTCAAATCTACATGTATTGGCAACCATCCAGTCAACAAGCCATTGAGCATTCCAAGAGAATTCAGACCGAAATTAAATTGAGCAAGACAGCTGTAGACCATGAGTAACCAAGCCGAACAAGCGAAGCAACTGGACTCTGTTACGGATGTCGTCCAAGAAAAAGAGATTGATGCCTCCAAGGCGCAAGAAGCTATGAGTGCCTTGACGGCTCAGAAAGCCGATCAAAGCCTGGATGCCGCGGCCCAAGCAGTGGCGGTCTCCAAGGAAGATGTGGCGTTGATAATGTCGGAATTGGAAGTGACAGAAGATGTTGCAGAACGATCTTTACGAAGTGTGACCGTGGAGGATGGACAAAGCCGAGTAGTGGAAGCACTTCGACATCTCGTCACTTCAGTCTAGCCACAAATACTACTGAAGGTGCTGCCTACGAGCAGCAGTGGACTGGCAGGTAACATGTGGAGTCGAGAAGCGAGTCGAGTCAGTTTCATTGCATAACTTCAAATAAGGCGACAATCTATTCCATTATTCAGTACAATCAAAGGTGCCACTAGCTAGTATTATCTAAAACTCTATTTGGCTTTATTTGCCTGCCGCTTGAATAATTCCCTCATTCCGTGATTTCCCAACACCGAGCTGCGGGTACGTCGTGATAAGCAAACGAGCCACTGAGACGCCAGCTGGAATTGAACTTCGGTGGCAACCAAGAGTTTCACAGTTCCTCACTAGACTATACAGTACTTGCTCAGCGTACTGTATTTCATTGAAGCAAGCAACAAACAAATGATAATTTTTATTTTTCTCAGCCTTCTGTGTATGGTTACAATAACCAAACTAAATGTTGGTTTCAGTGCCATCTGGACACAAAAAAGAGAGACGGTCACCCTGGTCCCAGTGCTTTTTAAAAGTGACAAGGTCAGCTATCATAGCTATAGCCACTCATAAATTATTACCTCGAGCATTCTACTTGGGTATGGGAAGGCCAAAGCGTAGAACAGCGAAGCAATCGAAATTATTCACATTAGTGTATCTGAATGCACAGCTGTGTCTCTATGATTCGTCTTTTATAAATTGAAATTTCGAGAGAGGTAGCTTGTCTTGATGCAAGGGCCATTGTGTTCTATCATAGCCAAAACTGTTTCTCCTAAGAAATATGCTTCCGCATTAGATGTCCTTGCAACCTGAGTTGCTAATATTGTCGACAATCCGTACAGTAGTATTCAGATCCACTTTGTTCCTGCCCCGTGGCTTCCATGCATTGGTGGCATTGCAATTTGCTGCAATTTGTGCATCTTTGCGGTTGACAATGGCGATCCACCTGATCACCACATATTTTTTTATGACACACAGCGCACATGAACGGGTTGGTATGGGGAGGTGTGGTCAGGCCAGCATCGAGAAACAAGAGAGTGGAACATCGACTGCAGTGCCACTGTTGCCGATAAATGGCGTTCCGAATTGATTCGCTCGTCATGGCAAGGTTCATGATGGACTGAAAATCCGAGCAGTGCTGCAGAATCGACGTAATGGCATCTCCAGGAAGAGCCTGTATAGACCGAGGCTGCTGCTGTTGCTGCCGTGACCTGGTGGGGTCAGGGTCAGATGATTCCATTGTCTTCCTTTTGGGTGGAGGGAGTGTTTGGTTGTGGCTACCGTGGGAGTGTTTGGTGTGCTGCTGACAAGCTCAAGCCTGCAGGAGCTGTTTGATGTCTCCGTTGGGTCCAAGGCTTCCGTCACAGCCCTCAGTTCGGGCAACCCAAACGGTACCGTATCTTGACTACTGCCGTACATCTATGTTTCTGCGTCGCTGTAGCTAGCTAGGAAACAGCACAAGAAGGAGCAAGACCTACTGGCTCATTCCTGTGCTTAGTTAGTTGCCATTCAATGATCAGTGAAGTCTCTGGCTGGTTGCCAATCCAATACAAGCCATTGAGTACTGAGTACAATTGATTTCTGCCTGATGATTTTGCTAGGGATGCAAGCTTCGTCTTCAAATGGTGGAATTGAGTTGCCATTTTCAATGACTTCCACATCAGTTTGAGCTCTCTCTCTCTCTGGCTGTATCGACCCTGCTGGTTAAAAAAGTTTTGAATAGAGTTATAATAGTGCGCCCAATATTTGCCATTCCGCATGTTTGTGCGAGTGTCACACCGGAAGGTTTCCACGCTAGACAGGGCTTGGTTCAATTCGTATTGTATTGTATTCATATGCCCACTACTGGGTCGTCTCCGTTTCCAGAAATAAGGTTGAGGATTACTAGTATTGAAACAGTATTCGCGCGCTCCGCGCGCTCATCCCTTTCTTGCTTCGCCCCGAAACAGCTCCCTCGCTCATTCATGCGAAACTTGTGTGAAAAGGCTCCCTCGCTCATTCATGCGAAACTTGTGTGAAAAGCGAGGCGACTTTCATGTGCATGTACATGCGCTGACTGTATCCCGTCAATACAATACTAGTCAAATACATAGACTTCTACAGAGGCCTCTAAGTATTGCACGCCGGGTATAATTCAAACCTCTGCCCCCAACAGTACCCTTACCCCTAAAGCAAGTCGTCTCCGGGAGACGAAATTGGTGAAAATGGCAAAAAGTACTAGAATTGTATGCGCCTACTCGCCATCGGTCAGAGCCAATGCACTCAAAGCAGCAGCTGCTGATAGGAGCTCTTCATCAGCTTTGGCTGCCCATTGGGCAAACCTGGCATCATTCTGCTGCTTTCTGGCATGTTCATAGGCCTTCAAGGTACCCTTGTAGCCTTCAAGGCACCCTATCCCTACCACAGGGGGGGTCAATACCCAAATTGGTATTGTCTAGATCTGCTCCAATGGGGTATTGCTGGTGGGGCTCCAATACCAATACAATACCCAATACCTAGGACAGGCTCTCAATACCAAAACAATACAATCCAATTTTCAATACAATACAATACAATTAAATTGGACCTAGCCCTGACGCTAGAGCTTCTCCACTGACTCTCCACTCTTCATTGCTGCTGTCCCCGAAGACAACGTTGACGAAGCCCACAGACCTGATTCGATTCGAAGAGAACGGATAAAGGGGGAAGAGGAGGAAGAGAAAGGAGGCGAGCTAGCCTGCTAGCCTGCTACTAGTACCTGTATCTGCTTTCAATGTTTGGTTGCCTCCAAATCTGACTGGAGCTGCATTCTGCGTTAAAACAGAACCTTCATCGAAAACCAAGCACACCAACCAGCAAACTTTCACAAACGGCAGTAGACGACCTCGCACTTCGCACCAAGCACCAAGCATCAAGCAACAAGCAGCAAGGTAAAAAGAGTATCAGTTGGTACTCGTGCAGTAAGCTCCCCAGCCAAAATGAGGAAAGATGCAAAAATGGGGAAAACCTTTGGAACACTTCGGAAACAAATAGCATTTTCCTACTTAGTGTCCCTGGAAGCATGACTGAAAGATGATTTTGTGATCAAAAAGCCGCCATCTTCTGGTTACCAGATCTCAGTCAATATTCAACCAATTGACCTAGTTGTTGAATGGTATTTGTCAGCAATAATGTTGTTTTGAATGTCATTGTCTTACTTTGTTGAGATAGCGTAGTTGATAGTGTCATATTGGGTGTTTACTAAGAGGGGATTTTTGCACCAATTATTTCTGAATGTAAGGGTATAATTGGTGCAGTGTGTCTTAATGTCAAGGTATAAAGGGTGACTGATCTTCATGCTTCTAGCTAGAGGTGATGTTAGGTTGCCTGTTTTCTTAACACTGTGCATTAAAAAATGAGGAAATCCTCATTTGGGGTACGGAGGAGTAGTAAGATCAGCAGCACGCACCTCACCTCAAATAGGTACCGGTGGTACCACCATATCTCTACGTGGTACCAGCACGTGGTGATCTGACGGCCCATCAACCAAAAGTTCAAACACAGATCGCACTTTGTGATTCACAGTTACTGCAATAAAGAAAACTCAAGGATTTATGGTCATGTCAAAGATATCGTACGCTCACCATACCAGTACAGAGTACAACAGATAAATAATTGCACTCCTGATTAGCCTTTAAAATGTTAATCCACTGAAACTCTTAAAGTAATCAAGAAAAGCTTAATTAAGCGAATGTCTTGTGTCACGGCATCAATTTCTTTTCTAGGCCAATAATAGAGCTAAAATTACTTAAAAATAAATGACAACTACCGGACTGTCTCTCAATGTCATAGAGAAAACGCCTAAGAAAATGGACTGTACATATGAATCTTGTAACGGTACTTTCATAGAATACTCAAGACTCAAGTACTCGAGTATTATTTATTCTGGAGTCTGGAGTACATCGTAGTTATTATCACTCATTCACTCATTGGCTTATTGTTAACACCATTGACGCCCTGGAAACCAGAGGTTAACATATGAATTTTGTCTTTTCTTTGTAGTCATAGAGAAAAGCCTCAATCCTCAACGAAGGATCAATAAATATTTGTGTCCTGAAACCTGAAACTATCTACTCCTCAGCTGCACACATTTTTCTCTATACATCACCATTTATAGTATTTGCTTGCCTGCTTTGGCTCATTCCGTAGCTAGAGAGTGGAAACCTGTCATTTTCCGCGGTGTTGTCTTTGCGTATCAGGTCTTGGCCACCGGTACATGTCCCACCAGAACACCGTGCCAACTGCCAATCTGGCAAAACTGGTTCTTCTTACTCAGAGTTGTCAGCTGTGTGATTCAGTAGGATTTAATGGGCTTTCCCATTGACATTCAAAGAAAGACTCAAACGGACAGCACGGATTCTATGTCTTACTCTAGAAATACTGAGTACTGGAGTAGTAGCCCATTGTTAATACCAGTGACACCCTTTTAAAGAACCTGTTATTACTCTCCCTCGTACTGTAGTCCTAGAGAAAAGCCTTGAGTGCAAGATCTTGTCCTGGCATCTGGCATGGAGTTTCAATTTGTGTCGTGTTTATCATAATTGTACTGTACTAAAAATAGCAGTATTCGTGGTGGATCTTACAGCCAAAGCTCAGCCAATCTATTAATACTCCGTTCCCTCCAACATCGCACAAGGCCCTAACTCTGTCGCGCAAGCTTTGGTGGGAGCGAAGATAGATCGAAAAGTGCACAGCAAAGTTGTCAATCATTTTGGCTCCCTTTCAAGGCAAGCTCCGCTCATCTCGTCTGGCTCACAACCGAAGCAGCTCACAATCTTTAGAAAAGCTTCCAAACAAAAGACAACTCCTCTACCACAATCGAATACTCGAGTACTTTTCATCACAATGGATTCCAGCACCGAAACCATGGACTCTAGCAGCCACAAGAACCACCGATTCCAAGACAAGATCAAGAGCGCTCGCAGCAGAGCAGACACCTTCCGACGTTGCAAGACCACCGGAGAGATTGTGCGGAAGCAACGATCCCCCAAGCCCGAGGAAGGCCGACGCCGCCGACAGAGCGACTTTGTCAGTGGAAGTGCCCTACCTCGCATGGATCCTCACAAGATTATTGAAATGCTCGAGACCTATGCGAGCACAGATCATGAGGAATGTCGTCAGTGCTTGCAATCCCTCAAGAACAACAGCAGTAATCCAGACTCCACTAGCAGCGGCCGACGACGTGCTGGCAGCTCGTCGTCGCATGACCGGAACAATGCCAGCGTTCGAGGAGCTTGAAGTCTATACAACGTATAACCCCAAATAACTATTTCATTGCTAATTATTCCACCACAGATCTTTGTGCGCAATCTACTGTAGGTGATCCTAGCTAGGTACGGTGGCCACGGTGGCTGTTTGTGCAGGTCGCCGGTATAGAGCGTTTTCTCCTGCTCAAGGGGCACAGCAAGAAAGTGCTGGGGCTTAGCGACACACTCTGACCAAAGACAGGTGGCGCCCGTAGGGAAGAACATAGATTGAACGCTACCAGGGTTGAAGGAAGATGCCTGTGCACATCTTCTGCATTTGAGTTTCCTTCAAAAAATAGTATATCGGTATGTATCATGAAGGGGGCTCAGGACGAGGAACTCAATGAACTAATCAATGATTCTATGGAAGCTCGCTTGTTCAATGCACCAGCTCGCTCTAGATTGGTCCACCGCATGCGCCTTTGCCCATTTCGGAGGAACTCAAACTGTTTGCAAGTCACGCCCCAGTAGCCTACAAGGTATTGAAGGGTTGGTACAACACACCCATCCCCTAGGTTGTGGGTGATTCTGTCAACAATCTTCGATCCGGGTTGGAGGTTAGTCTAGTACAGACGACTGGATGTGCGGCCACAGGGACCTGGAAGGGAAGCAAGCCAACAGAACAGTCCATCAAAGCGGCCGTCTAGTTGTACGCTGAATCTCTTTGGGCTGTACCAGCAAATCCGGTTCATTAGTGCAGCAGGGCTCCAAAAATGGGGCTGTCAATTGGAGCTACAAACATGCGCCGTTGCCCTTGTTGGAAACCAACGTGGAAGAACTCAAAGCCTTTGCTACACAAGCCCCACTACTACACGGTAGAGTCCATCTCTCTTTCATCCCTATTTCGGTCAACATTGGAGGATCGGTATCAAAGATCTACCATACGTGAGAAGTAACCATAGCCAATCAAACCCGACATACATGGAGTTCTTTTTATTAATAAAAGAGAGCAGAACTTGTGTTGTTGGACTGGTCATTGCTACGCTGCTTTTCGGATCCACAAAGAGACTGCGTGCAATACACCGGTACCTGGTACCATGGATACCGGCGCCTTCTATCTGGTAGTGATAGCTATTGGCAGCTTCGCAGGTTTCCCAAAATGCTACGTCATTAGCGTTAGAGATGATCTCAACTGTGGATATTCTGTCAACGAAAGATCTTGAAGATCCTCTTGAGGCTTGAAAGCGGAACTTCTGAAGATGAGGATGGGCACCGCTCAATACCTCTCTAATATCTAGTACCAGGTAGCTTGTATTATTAAAACATTAAGAGGTTCACTTGATGGCTTTAGCTCGGCTTTGGCTTGGCTTTAATTTGGCTTTAGCTTGGCTTTAGAAAGCCTATAGAGTCTCACTTCATTCTCAACTCAAGAAGATTCTCCTCGTTTCGAAGTCTCCAGCAATTGAGCTTCTACTTCACACCGCTTCTTTGCAATCATGACACCAGAGGACAATTTCTCGGTGGTGGAGCTCGCACCGTGCATCTACATGTGTCGGGAGCTGCATTATGCTCAGAAATGGAATACAGCCAATTGCTATGTTGTCCAAGGCACGAAAATGGATTTGATCATTGACACGGGTTTGGGCCTCTGGAATTTCAAGGAATTCCTCGTGCAAAAGAAATTGATTTCCCAAAACGACAAGCCGTACATTGCCGTGGTCACGCATGTCCACTTTGACCACTCCGGAGGGCTACACCAATTCGCCGACAGTTGTGCCATTCACGAAGAGGAACAGGAGGCGATTGAAACGAGTGACAATGTGGCCGCCTGTACGTTTATCTATCAGACCGACATTGAAAAGAATCCGCCCACGCCAGATTGGCAAGCTGCCGACTATCACGTTCGTCCTGTCAAGCCTACAAGAGTCCTTCGAGGCAGGGAAAGCAGCTTTGATCTCGGCGACAATAGAATCATCCAGGTAATTCACACACCCGGACATTCGGCTGGGAGCATTGTTTTCTGGGATGAGCAAACCGGAATCTTGTTTAGTGGAGATACCGTGTGTGACGGACCCGTTCTAGACTGGGCACCCACAAGCAGCGTGGAGGACTACCTCCAAACCATGGATATCCTCTCGAGTTTGGCATCCAAGGTGAAACGAGTCTTTCCAGGACACGACAATGAATTTGATGGGAACCGGCTCAAGCAGATTGCAGACGACTACTTGAAGGGTGCCGGAACTTGTCACAGCTGTACGGCCAAGCTTACCAAGGCACTGGCAACCATGTTACTCCGAGGCAGAAACGCCAAGGGAGCCACATCATGTGAAAGGGGTTGCTACCATGCTTGCTGCTGTAGCTGTATTTTTGGCCCGGCTATGAATCATGGATGACCGGGCGGCAACCACAGTGTAGAGGAAAACACGGATGGAATCGAATCTTCAATCGAACTGAACCGAATGTTTTGAAACTTCAAGTGACAACCAGGTGAAAACGTTCAAAAGTTGGTGGTCGCTCGCTCATGTGGAGTGCACATGGAATGCAGGGAGAGATGGAATACGAGGCAAGACCCTCTTCTGGCGTACTCGTAGTAGCTTTCAACCCTTTAGCTTCACCAGGTACGAGAGAGAAGTTCGTTGATTTTCTGCGCAGGATGAAACCACGATCACTAGGCCTACTAGTAGCTAGTGGTACAATGGTCGCTGGGCGCAAAACGACTCCAAGAAGCAGGCAGTTCGAAAGAGAACGTCATGTAGTTCTTTGCTTTGGCTAGTTGTATCGTACCGGTACCAGTACATGTAGCTCCTCGTCAAGGCCTGCTGCTGTCTGCCGTTTAATTCTCTGCCTCCAACCTCATTCCAGCCGCTGGCCATTCCACAGCCTTCTTCAGGCTGTGGAATCAACCACTGGCTATTCAAGAAGGCAGTCTGAAGATATCTCTTTTCCTGGAAGGTTTCTTGCTACCTAGTATTCGGGGGGGGGGGGGGGGCGACCAACAGCACCTAGCCAGCTAGAGCCTTCGAAACTTCGAACACCAATTGAAACTTTGCTTGGGCGGGGTCCATCAGGTCAGCAAAGAACTATCGCAGGTGCAAGCTTCTGGTAGCTAGCTGGAGTACTGCAGGGTCTTGACCTCAAGAATGTGCTCTTTTGGTTTAAGAGTTTACTCTTGCCCTCTGAACAGTATCTCAATCGGCTGTGTGGGTCATCTCAGCTGAATGCCTTACTGTGAGGCTTCGAGCATCGAGACCCAATTTTGCCTCACGTGTGTATGGTACGGTAGTATGGTACCACTGCCGCAGGGTTGCCCTACATGTACTAGAGTACCATTGTTGCGATACCCGAAAGGCGTTCTTTAGCGTTCTTTCCACGGCAATGAGCATTGAGTTCACCGTGCTACTAGCTGGATCGAGCAGCTTCTTTTCCCTCTTGCAGGTCGTGCATTTAAACCATTGGATACAGCTTCTGTTCTACAACTGACACGAACGGCTACCTGGTACCGTAGCTATTAATAGGCAGATTGAGTCGAGTAGCTGTCGAGTCTCTAGTAAAATTTGAAAATTAATTGATGTGATCGTATTCTTGACAGTCATTTATATGGCTCCAAGACACCTTGAACAGCCTTTGCATAATGCATTGGTGGTCGCTTGACGCTTGACACAAGACTTCAAATTCGCATCCACGAGACCAAAGCACCCCAAGATCCAAAAGCTTCTCGATCACATCTGACATCCATGGCAATTCCACCCTCCTCCAGCCATTGCCAAGAGCTCACAATCCCAAGTTGCCTCAACAAAAACTACCACCAGTCCAGCCAACCAACCCGTCCCTCTCCAAACTAATATCATTTTTCTACCATGAGCGACAAGTGTGCCCGATTCCAGGAAAAGATCAATGCCGTTCGCCGCCAAAGCCAGAAGGCTCGACGTCCAAGTGCCACAGCGGCTCCAGAAAGACGACGAAGCAGCGTGTCAGAAGGGCTGAAGCAATTGGCCCCTCATGAAATTCTGACCGTGCTTGAGCACTACGCCACCATTGATGGAGACCAGTGTGTTGAGTGCTTGGGTGCCCTCAAGGATTGCTCCATGCAAGATTCCAGTAAGCTCCATCACAGTGGCCGCCATGGACGACATCACAGCAAGCGAGGAAGCCAAAAGCCCAAGCACGGTGAAGTCTCCACATCTCTGGTTTGAACAGCCTTCCAAATTGCTCTAGCTAGTAGCAGGATACCGCTGCCAACGAAAGGTCGACAAGCAGCCAGGGTCCAGAAACATAGAGAAACTAATATATAGCATGCATCATCTTACTACGCGTACATGAATCTAGAGAGCTGCGTGCACGCATTGTAGAGTTACTCGAGAAGCCACGGGCCCTTCACCCACTCGTTTACCAGGCGGCCGCTCTTGCCACCTCCCCCTAATGTGAAACCCAATAGCATGCATTCGTTGTATACATAGTCATTTACATTGTCCTCTAGCTAGCTTCACTTTTGCTCATCAAGGCTCAAGACAACTTGAATGAATGTGCCGCACTGACGTTTGTACTGGTTGGACCTACTGTACCACAATTCTTGACATCTCAACTTCACCGAGGACAACGATCTAGATGTAGGCACAAGGAAATGCGCGGGAGCTTTCTATAAAGAAGCATAAAAGGCAGGAGTGACCCCGGCTTCCAAATCCCACTCCATGACAGGTTCCCAAAGAAGAGGCAGTACATCTACCAGTGACTCTGGAGGTGCATCCACTTGTGGGGTGGGTTGTGGGGGGGCATCTTTTTGCGCCCCTGCCAGATCCCTGTTTCTTGATTGCAAAGAGCAATGCATGCTCTGATGGTCAGCGAAAACGATGTCTTTCAAGTTGTGGTCTTTCGCCAGCGCTCGGGCGGGAGGAATAGGGGGCATAGTGAGCATTGCAGCATCTTGCGTTTGCAGAGGCAGAATGGAGGGGATTTTAGCTATGGTTGCCATTTGAACCGTACCGGCGGTAGAGGTGGAGGAGTACATGGTTTCAACGGGTGCAACTGGTGAACTAGGATCAAAGAGATTCGCTGCTATTCCAGTCGAATCAGAGAGCTGTGGAGAGATGATGCACACTGGTGGTTCCTGGGAGGGCTGTGCAAGGAGCAATCCTTGCGTACACGGGTGGGCTCCTGGCATTTCCCTGCCTGTCTGCAGGGGAGACCAGCATTGCTGGCCCAGCACAAACACCTTGTCTTCAGGTTCTTCCCCAATGGAGACCATGGTTGAAATCGAAGCGTCTTGCGTATGTGTGGGGGGATTAGAGGGCAAAAAAGTTGTGGGTTCTTCAGAATCATCGGTATGACCGAAGACAAAAGACGCCAATTCAATGTTGTCAATGAGAGTAACAGAGCAAGGAGCCTCTTCCGTTGCATTTGAATTGTTAAATGGTTGGGAAGATGAACCGCCATTGTCACCGCCAAACACTTCGGGAGAGCGGGGAGGCGACGTGGGAGGAGATGGCACACTGGATTTTCCCTCCAGCGATTTCCATGAATCAATGCTTGTGTCTCCTTCCGTTTTGGATGGATTCTTCTTCCGCCTTGGGGTAGTTCGATTGGCAAAACGGAGCGCATGTCCCACCTTATCACGTGCTGCCATTGTCAGGAGTTCTTCCCATACCATTGTTGAAGCATCGTACTTGAGAAAGCGGCAATTCTCCTTCTGCAGTCTCTCCACTACCTCTTTGGTGATCATCATCTTTTCATACTGTCAAAGAAAGCAGAAGGCAATGAGAGCTGAGGCAGCTGTGATGGCAACTCAGCTTTGGGTTGGTGATAAAGCTTACCTTGGTCTTAGTCAAAGAGTACCTCTGACGGTAGGACTCAATCACTGCACGAAAGCGCCTGGATCCAATATGTCCAACACATTTCTTGCCCTTACCACACAGGATGTCAAACTTTCCCGGCTGCAGCACCGGTGCTGCTACCGGCACCGGCATCTCCTGGTATCGAATATTGACCTCTTCCATCCTTTTCGTTTTTTTGGTTTGATGATCACTCGTGAGAGGGTGGTTTTGATTTTGTGGGCTCTTCTGCTCTTGTGCTCATTTTTAGCAGAACAAAACCAAGTCAGCAAACAAAATGCACGCATTATTACCGGCTAGCCAGAGCAACTACTAGCCAGTACTGCACAAAAGTACGTACCAAGTGGGATGGACACTTGACAATCTATTCTTCACTTCAACGCAGCACGTTAGTTGGTTACTATTTTAATAGTAGTACGTACTTTGAAGGAGAATGGGATAACACTGCGACAGAAAGCTTTTCATTAAATCAGAAAATTGGATTAACCATGCGACAGCAGACACTTGCTTCTCGTTCTATTTAAAAAAAGAGTAAGTGAGAAGTAAGGAAATTGAAAGAATACAGTAGCGAACTATCTTGAGCTGACTTGGACCTCCTCCACCGTTGTGCAGGGCACCAGCTCAGATGGGGGAGGCAGAAGGAAATGTTTCGTTGGTGACATTCTTGTGAGCATAACGTCCGCGATACCGGTAGGTTGAACGTAGGCGGAGAAACCGAGAAGACAGGTGGAGAAACCGAAACACCAAGACGACGGCCGAAGGAAACCACGGAAGCTCCACGGATGAGCCCTTTTCTGAAAACACACAAGACCTACAAATACCCTTACTATTTCCCCTGCACTGCCTGGTGCAGCTACTACTTCTCTAGGACCACAATACTGAGACAGGTTTCTTTTGCTTGGTAAGGTGTGTGTCGCCTGTGTTTTAGCATGGAATCGAATCCTTGAGGACGTTGCCTCGAATTCCTTCGGCTTGGCTCGCATGGTCCCACTCAAAATCGATGGTGCATTTGCCGAGGGTGGAGAACAGAGAACAGAGGGCAATGTGCACAAACCTACATCTGGCTGCATTCTGAAATAATGGCCTGCGCAGCCTGGGCATCCAAGTGCTCGCGGTAGCACGAGCATGCACCTGCTACCTGCTACAGTACCGTTCATTGATACCATCCCAGACTGTCACGAAGAACGAAAGGGAAGACAGCCCCGTACGTCGACTATTCGGAGGAATGCAAGCACAATGAGGACACCCCCACGGTCTGGAAAAGGGTGTTCTCTGACCCTTCTTACTACGTACGTATCATGTGCTAACTTCACATCTCTCCTCGATGTGGACGTCTGTACGGCTACAATCTCAATATCCAGATCAATTGCTCGTACTGAATAGTCGCTCCAATCTACTAAAGAACCGGGCCGACGCCAAACTTGTTGCGACGACGTGTTGTAGAACAGCCACTTGTCTCCATGGAAATGACAATACATTGTCTCTGGATCTTGCTCCACAGACTCCCAGTCTCTCCGTGCACAATGACAACATTTTCTTCTTCAATTTGAACCTCGATAAACTTGATCTTATAGATCAAATCGAGAAGGGACTTCCACAGGCTTTCGCACTCTGCCACAAAACATTCGAAGGATCACCAAAACTGACGCGTCCGGGTTCGAAACAGAAGAGCTACAGGAAGTGACCTCACAGACTCCACAGGTTAAACTGACTTTGCACGTCCCAAAGCTTACTGTAGTACCGTATGCCATATGGCACCCAGCTCCGTAGTGATTTAAAAATTAATGTTGATCAGGGGAACAGAAAAGTTGATTGGCGAGAAAATCCACGAAGGCTCCCAATTTCCTGGTTGTCTTGTGCCCGCAAAAGATCACGCAAGAAGCATCTTAGTACCGGTACCGGTACCGGTGTGGTTCTGCCAAAAATACCAAAAAAAATGCCCCAAGTGAATTGGGTTTCAGTGGTTACTGTACACTCCAAACTCGAATATAAGAAACTCCACTATAAGAAAGCGAGCCCTGAGATTCTAGAAAATGTTAAGAACATCTTGATGCTGAAATATCACAGACTTGTAAGAAAGCTTCCCAGTATTAAGACCTCAAAGCATAAGAAATACTACTAGTCTGACACCATGAAAATGCTTCAAACTTGTGCTTACATCTGCAAAATTTTCTGCCTCACGGCAGACACAGTGATCACCATCTGTATTTGATCCAACCCAATTTATGATTCCTGAGCAAGTTGAACCAAAATGGCCAGGTTCATTGCGTGTATCCAAGCACTGCCCTGCTTGACCTAGAAGCATAGTAAGAAAGTCTTCTATGCTGAAATTGGCTTGTTTTGTTAGAAACAATCTGAGGGGCCAAAATGGTGCTGTACGGTAAGAAAGGCCCAGGGCTGCACCGAATTTAGAGATTTCTTATATGTGAGTTTGGAGTGTACTAGCTAGCTAGCTAGCAAAATGAGCCTTTGCGATTGCTATAGAGTATTACATGTAAGAAGTGTGTCGCAGTGTTATCCAAAACTGATGTCACTTGAATTTTTCACTACTGTCGAGTGATCTACAGTGTGTTTCTCGCTGCGGTGAAGCTTTACGTTAACGTTACCAGTACGTACTCTTATCTTTGCTGCAACTCTGTTATTTGCGATGAAGTTTTTATCCTCTGTTGTCCAGTCCACTGGCATTGTACCATCGTGATTCTGCTACAAATCCGATTTGTAGCAAGGAGAGTACTCTAATACCTAAGCTGTATGATGTCATTCGAACTTTTCACCACTCCTACGGTGCAACAGGTGTTCTTTCCGGGGAAGCCTTTGTCACTCTCTCGAAACTGGAAACTGAACTCCAACCTCATCAATAAGATAACTCTATTCTTAGTCCTCTACTGGAGGTATCTTAACCGATTCAGCTACAGCAACACTGAGTTATTATCTTACAAGTAGCTCAATCTCAGTATCTTTCATATCTTATAGCCACTACCTGGTAGAAGCTTTTATTACATACCCTACTACTAACCATGCCCTGAGACAGTGAGGAGCCACCACCAAAGCTCAAGAAGGCAAAGG